ATGGTATGTATCGTGTATCTGTAAGCATTAAACAGAGAGAAAAAAAATATAAAGATTGAACCTACACGCCTATTTTCCTTCCATTTTCTGCTTCTTCTAATCATGATTCTCCTTCGTGTTTGTCTTCGTTATCGCTAACTGCCCGTGACCAACAGAAAACGTAATTATCATTTACATTTTCTTTCTCGCTCGCATTATCAAGTGTAATTGACCGTAATTAAATGTGTGAGAGATAATGATTTTTGTTTCTTTCTCTAATTCCTAATTCTTTTTTGTTTTGTGTGTCTCCCCTTTTACGTGTTTATTCATTGGTTCTTTGCTTTGTCTTTTTTTATCATTTATTTTTCTTTTCATTTTTTGTTGATCATTTCTTTTTCATATTTACTTATTTTTTCTTCTAATTCTTTTTACCTTCTTTATTTATTAATGTTTTGTTTATAGTGTTTTCCTAATATACTATTTTCGTTATTATTACTATTGCTATTAATTTTGTTGTTCTTATAATCAACGTTATTTTTAATGATTGTTATTTTCAGTATTATTGCTATTCATGTTTTCGTCATTATTGTTATTGTTGTTGATATCATCTTATTATTATTATTATTATTATTATTATTATTATTATTATATTAATTATTTATTATTATTATTATTATTTTATTATTATTATTATTATATATTATATTATTATTATAATTATTATTATTAATTATTATTATTATTATTATTATTATTGTTATATTGTTTATTATTATTGTTATTATTATTGTTATTATTATTATTATTATCATTATTATTATTATTATTATTATTATTATTATTATTATTATTATTATTATTATTATTATTTATTATTATTATTATTATTATTATTATTATTATTATTATTATTATTATTATTATTATTATTATTATTATTATTACTATAGTGGTAGTAGTGGCAATAGCAGTTTTGTTATGGTCATTATTGTTGTTGTTGCTCTTGTTGTTATTGTCATTGCCACGGTTATTATTATGGTTATAGTCATTATCATCATTATTATTGTTATTTATCATTATTATTATTTTCATTATTATTTTGCTTTTGATAGCATTATTATTGTCAATGTTATTATTATCATCACTATCAATATCATTATTATCTATTATTTGTTTAATCATTATCTAAAACCATCATTGTTATCATTTTTGATTATTATTATCATTGTTATTATCTATATCTCTCTTATTATTGCTGTGGTTATTACTATTATTTTTATTGTTATCATCATTATCATTGTTGTTGTTAGCATTATTATTGTTATTATCATTATCCTTATTGAAATTGTCTGTATTATGATTATTATTATTATCATTATTATCATTATTATTATTATCAATATTATTATCATTACCATTATTATTATCCTTAACATTATTATTATTGCCATTATTAATATTATCTTTAGTATTATCATCATCATCATCATCATCATCATTATTATTATCATAATTATTGCTATTATCATTATCAATACCATTGTTGTCGTTGTTGTTATTATTATCATAGTTATCGTTATCATCTTAGTTGTTATTATTATCATTATTATGATCACGATCATCGTTATCATCTCCTCCATCATCTTCATCATCATCACTCTTTAAATAAGAAGAAAAATAACTCAAACTAAAAGAAGGAAAAAGACAAAAGAGAAATAGATAAAGAAAAATCAAATCGAGAGAGAGAAAGAAAGAAAAAAAAAGAAAATCGAAATTAAGAGAGAGAGAGAGGGGAGAGAGAGAGAGTGGAGAGAGGAGAGAGAGGAGAGAGAGAGAGAGGGGAGGAGAGAGAGGAGAGAGAGGAGAGAGAGAGAGAGGAGGAGAGAGAGGAGAGAGGAGAGAGAGAGAGAGAGGGAGAGAGAGAGAGAGAGAGAGGAGAGAAGAGAGGGGGGGGGAGAAAAGGGAGAGAGGAGAGAGAGAAAAGAAGAGACAGAGACACAGAGACACAGAGACAACAGAGACACAGGAGAGAGGAGAGAGAGAGAGGAGAGAGAGGAGAGAGAGAGGAGAGAGAGAGAGAGAGAGAGAGACAGAGACAGAGAAGACAGAGAGAGAGAGAGACAGAGACAGAAGAGAGACAGAGAGAGAGAGAGACAGAGAGAGAGAGAGAGACAGAGAGAGAGAGAGAGAGAGAGAGAGAGAGAGAGAGAGAAAGAAAAAAACGAAACAGATTGTAAACTTGAGTTTGTATTACGGGAAATAAGACGTTCTCTCGGGCTAAGTTCCCTGATTAAGTAAATTAAACTTGCGATTAAACGGATGAAATCAAAGGGTGAGAGAGACACCTAATTATATACTTTTTTTTTTCTCTCTGTCTTTCGCTCTGTCTTTATCTTCTGCCTTTGTGTCTTCTGTTTTTCTTTTTTTTTTTCTTTTTCTTTTTTTTTTGGGGGGGGGGGGTTGTTCTTCTTCTCTCTCTGTTCTCCTCTTCTCTCCTCTCCATCCTCTTCCTCCTCTCTCC